TCATATATATACATACATAGATATATATATAAATACTATATATAGTATATATATATATAGATATATATATATATATAGATATATATATATATATATAAACATATATATGTATATCTAAAATTATATACTCATCTCTCTCCTTCTCTCTCTCTCTCTCTCTCTACTCTCCTCTCTCTCTCTCTATATATATAATTATTATATATATTATATATATATATATATATATATATATATATACAAACACACACCATCTGAGGGGTGGGTGCCTTCGATGCATAGGGTGATGTGAAGCTATGGTTGCTAGCCTCGATAGGCTAAGTGCTCACATGCCTTCTCCTTGCAGCTGCCACTGGCTAGCTTAGTGCGAAAGAGGGAGCAGCTCTGCATTAAGCATTTCCCCTGCCAGTTCACAGCCTCTCCAATCACCGAGACTTCTGCAGTGCGCTTCGTGACCACCCATGCGGCAATGGGGCTCTTGCCGTGCAGGCTAAAAACGTGGGGGATCTCGGAGCAGCAGGAGGCTCAAAAAAGGTACAGAAAGCCATGTGGACACGCACGTGGGCAGAGGTGGTGTACACTGGAGCGACTGCCCCCCCCAGGTATACCTCTTAGTCTTTGCAACAGGTATGAGCGTTAGAGCGACGCCAAGGCTTCACCTCCTGTCTTTGCGGACGGAGGAGCGTTTAAATTGAGGGAACTGAAGGGGTTAGGGAGCTTGAGGTGCTGCCCTCTTGGAGATGAGAAGACCTGACAATGGAACAATCAGTATGGGTGGGTCACCTACTACTGATTGTGCCGTGGCAATGGTCATCATCTCCAGGGAGTAGCCATACCATCTCAAGCGACTCAATTCCTCGTAGAGAGGTAACACAGTTGATAAAGCATTATGGTGCATGAGACCGAAGCATGCTTTTGGTTTTGTGTCCTCTATTGCTGTGTACACTCCTTCGATCCAAACTCAAATGTGAAAGAAGCGTTCAATGCCAAAATCACATCCACGGCAGAGAATGTTCCCGGCGAGAATTAGCATTGTCGGTGATTTAATGCGTTAATCCAGCTGTGATCAAGCTGGCTACGAGATGTCTTTCGGTCCCCATGGCTCGGGAGCTGATCCTTAGTAGCCAAGAACGGCCTCCTTCACAGGGACTTCGCTAGGTCCCAAGGAGATTGACACATTCTTGTCAGCACTGATAGTTCGTGCACTGACATAGGTGAGTAGAGGCTACCCTACGGGTCCACTTAAAACTCCTGGTCCCTCCAGTGGCCATTACAGGGTGTTTTACTTTGCAGATTGAGTGGGGCAGAGAGTGACCTGAAGGTTAACTGCAGTATTTGATCAGTTACAAAACTTGAAAACCTGATAGACCAGCTGCTCTGTGGGAAGGTCCTTCGAACATTGGCAAAGTCGAAGGCAAGGCAGAGTTTCATCTCACATGAGGCATAGGGAAGCCACTGAAGCATGTCACATGGCTTGCTGAATGGCATCAGACTTGCGACATTCCTTGCTGCATAGGGCTCGGGCAAGGAAGAAGGGACAAGGAACTATTCATCAGGAACCTGGTAAGGAGGTTGAAGGCCAATTCTTCGTAAATGACCTTCGCCCTGCCTATCAAACCCTGAGGAAAACTGAACTCTAACTTGCAGCTAATTGCTGAACTTAGCAATCTCAGAACAGGTTGGGTTCATGATCGTTGGGCTGGCATTTTGAGCAGCTGTCCCATGAAAACCTATAACAATTAGTTTGGATGCCAAGTGGTATCACAATACCTGTGCCGGGACCCACCATCAGCGAGGAACCTCCTCCCCTAAACTAAGATTTGTAAAATGAAGGGTAGAGATGAAGGCAATTTCTTAGTAAATGACCTCGCCCGCCTACCAAACCCTGAGAAATGAACTTAAAGACCTTTCAGATATTGCAGTGGATGGACAGTGCAATTGGTATCACAATTACACGTGCCGGACCCACCATCAGCGAGGAACCCTCTTACCATAACTGACGATTTATAGATGATGGGTAGGAAAGCACAGACACATGTGATATTTTTGCTGAACCGCTAAAGGGTTGGGGGGAAACCTTGGCATTTAGCCATATATGAATATGATATATGCACATATGTAATGTACATAATATTATATCTATATATTATCTATCTTCTATCGATTCAGTCTATCTATATATATATATATATATATATATATAATATATACACAACACAATTAATAGAGATATATAGAATATATATTATAAGAGATATATATATATAGATATCGTATTATAGAATATATAGATATAATATATGTCTTAAAATAGGTAAATAACTAAATATATATACATACATACATATATATATATATATATATATATATATATATATATATCTATCTATATATATATATATATATATAATATACACACATACATACATACTATACAAGTATAGTTATATTAACACACCACACACAACACACAACACACACAACACACACACACACACACACA